CACGAGGTAGTCAAAGATGAAAAGAAACAAAAAAAAAAAGAAAAAAAAAACAGAAACTCAGAAATCAAACTTTTTTTTTCTTTTCTTGAGGAAAGAAAAAACACCCTCTTCCTCTGGATCGCCTAAAACAGAACGAAAAAACAAAGAGAAACCGATGGAAAACATGAGGACTGCAGGGATTGAACCTGCGACCCCTGGATTTGGAATCCAATGCTCTACCACTGAGCTAAGCCCCCCTTGCCGAAATCCATTATGAGCTATTGTAACAAGTATAAATAAATAAATATCAAAAAAAAAACCTTAAAAAAAAAAATAAACTTTGGCATACTAAAATTGTTTTTTTTTTTTTTTTTCGTTGTTGTTGTTGTTGTTGTTGTTGTTTGTGTGTGTGTTTGGAATCCTTTCTCCCTAAATTCCTTTGCTCTTTGGTTTTTGTTTTTTAAAATAAATTCTGTAGTTTTTTTTCACACAACCGTTTTTGGTTAATGTTAGAGGGAAATCGTCTATTACACTTGTTGGGGGGAGGGGGGGGGGTAAAAGATTCGTGGTGGATAACCGTGCGATTCTTTTTTTTTTTTTCCTTCAGGTTGTGGGGGATCGAGAATGAATAGAAAACTGGAAAAAAACGTGAGGACTGCAGGGATTGAACCTGCGACCCCTGGATTTGGAATCCAATGCTCTACCACTGAGCTAAGCCCCCGTGGGTCGGAAAATGGGGTCAGCTTATATTGTGGTAATTTTTTTAAAAAATATTTATAAAGAAAACTCCAGAGAATCGTTGATGATGTGATGGTGGGGGAAAAAACTCCTCCCGTTGGATTCGAACCAACGACCTGTAGGTTAACAGCCTAACGCGCTGCCGACTGCGCCAGGGAGGACACGTCAATAGTGTGATTGATTGATGTGATGAGAGATTACTATAAAAATTAAATAGTAAAAATAACCCCCTCAAAAAAAAAAAAAAAAAAAAAAAAAACCAAGACGAATTCCCCGAACCTCCCCCATCGGGAAATTCTTTTTCTCACGACAGTTCCCTTTTTTCACGGTTAATCAAAATACCATCCGCACCACCATCCTGCGATCCTCAAAGAATGAGCTGGCAATCAACAGAATGGAAGTTAATAACTTTCTTCTGGTTGGTGAAAAGCGTTCTCTTCCTCATAAACTGTTTTACCCTCTATTTTCCAAGTTTAAGCGGAAGTAAGGGATTCTACTCTCCTTGAGTTCAAAATAAACACTCATTAGGGTTTGACAATTTGTTAACACATTATCTTTAAGATAAGCGCAACAACAATAGAAGGGATCCCACACACGCGCGAAACCGAACTGGTGTATTATTCTGGGGCCCGTGCTCACTTGTCTGCCTCCCCACCCCCCTCTCGGAAAACAGAGGCCATTAAGAAAAGAGGATCTTACCCCACTTTTACTCTTCATCCAATCTTTTGCATCAAAGGGAAGAACATAGACCCATGATAAAAAAGGCATCTTGACAAGCTTGCGGTTCTTGAAAGCGACTTCTTCCCCCACCCCTCTGGCAACACACCGCTTGACATTGCCAGCAAATATCCAACTGCGAAATGTATTCATCCCCATCCTTTTCTCCCAAACCCCTTTCTTTCCGCACCTCTTTTGGTAATTATCGGGGGTATTGGCCATCCAAAAGTGGATACCTAATTCACGAAAATGCTGCTACATGAGCCCTTTGTACTTCAGGAGGCCACGCTTGAACGATTGCAGTGGGGTGTGAAATTTCCAACGCACACTTTTGCCAAAAGAGGGGGTGGGGAAGGGAGGAGTGAGGGTCTTATAGCCCCATTCCCTTGGTAATGATGAGGCCCCTTATCGTGGTACAAAGGTGGTGTACTTGAATTTATTCAAAGAAACTAAATGCACTCACTAAATGTTTGAAGTGGGTGGTCTCCTTAAAAATCAAATTCCTTTTGTTTTTTATTTTTAACACATGCGTTCTTAGGAATGCTATTCCCCTTGGTGGCGTTTGGCTATTGAAAGGTGGAGCCAATGCCCATTATCCCTTATTATTTTGAGGGAAGCCATGGGTCAGCAAATTCTCTTCTTGAGAGTTTACGGGTTCATAAGCTACAAACGTCATATAGCACCGGGGCCAACAGAGTCGTACTGAGAGAAAACTTTATCCAAGAAGGCCCTCGGGTGCTTATCAGTGTACCATCCGCAGCAGTTTCTTTTACATATTTCACCTTAGCGTGAATGCTGCTAAAAAAGGAGAGGCAAGGACCCTAGAGATAGTAAGAATTATGTCCTCCAGTGGTGGAAATTGGATTAGCTGCTGAGGGGACTCAGAGAGGCGAAAAAAATCCATGCTCCGCCACCTACGAGATCCATTGTAATTTCATTGCCAATGCGTAATTCCGCTGCGCAACGGTAATAAAATACAATAAAAAACAAAACAAAATTAAAATTAAAAAAAAAAATAGAAAAAAAAATATTATAAACATATATCGTTATATATATTGCTGTTTATGGCTCGCTCCATTGTGGCGCAACCATTAAAGAGACGAGGAAGAACATCATAATAAAAAATATATATAATAAAGATTTTTTAAGTTCAGATTATTCACGTATTACTTAACCTATTAATCCGTCAGGGGCACGGGGCGTGTAGCTCAGTGGTAGAGCGTCCGTTTCGCATACGGAAGGCCTAGGGTTCGATCCCCTACTCGTCCACTTTTTTCCAAAAACCAATTTTTTTTTATTATGGGAATCAATGCATTCCTATTTATTTTGTTTCTTCTTTCGTCGGTAACAGGCGTCTTGAGCTTACTCTTCTATCAGGGTTTCCATATTCGAGCTCGTCGCTGATTTTAGAGAAGTGGGGAGGCCTTACAGAGGGGGAGGTAGGCTGTGTAGGGTTTCTCTTGGTTTTGAAGACTGTGGCATAGCGTAGTTCCCCTCCACCGCAATAAGGAATATTGCTAACCGCTTAGAAAAACATAGTTTCATCAGGGGTACATCATCAACGATCGCAAATTGGACTCGCAGTTAAAGAAGAGTGGGGCAACTCAAGAGGTGCAGAGCTGTTTCTTCGCATTCGTCGCGTTGGCTGGTGTGCGCGAGTAGGTTGATACCCGTGTCGTGACATTCGGTGTAGAGTTAGGCCTGGCTTACCCATACATTGGTGACCGCACGTGGGACAGACTAATGCCGGAAGGTCTCTTGTTTTCCTTGGTTTGTATCTTGCATTGGTGGAATTCGCTCTTGTTGACATTCCCTGTCTATAATGGAATTTTTTGCAGTGGAAGAAGAGGGAGGCTAGGTGGGCGTAGAACTTCTGGTATACTCTGCATTGAACTTTCTCTCTGTCCTCACGCTCTGGTGGTGGCGACGAGATTCGCCGGTATTGGGGTGGTCTGCCCTTATTTCTTCTGGCGCTGTATGGAAGGGATCCTCCATAGTTCATGTATTAGTGTCATTTTAATAGTTTGATGGCGTTTCCAAATTTTGAGGAGGCGTTATGGTTTCAATGCCTCGCCAGAGTACTGCATTAATAGGCGAAGTGGATTTGCCATTACTTCCCCAGCCCAAAGAAAAAAAAAATATCGAAATCCAGTTAAAGTTTGGCACCGCGGCGCGCGTTTCAAGGCGAGAGGCGCTGCAGCTTCTTTCTTGCCCACAACCCTTCCTTTCACCCACTACCGGCGCGAACGCGGAGGGTCACAGACGAAACCCTTTCACGCCGGCAGTCCAGGAAAGAAACCCCACAAGATCCGCGAGGGAGCGGCGCTGTAAGGATACGATTTGCCGCCTTACCGGCGCGGGCAGCGAAATGCCGCTGTGGAAGAGAATTTGTGAAAAAAAAAAAGTAAAAAAAAAGCAAATGTTAAAAATACCATTCCGGCCGTTTGTAACGACGCCTCCTTCGGATAATTTCTTCGCCACTTTGGGTTTCCCCCATTAAAGCAAGCCACTCAACCAAGACAGCGCGACAAAGAAAGAAAATAAGACCACACACCGACGCCAGGAACCACAGAACCATTCTATCGGGATGCGCGCTTGGTTTTTCTTTCTTTTCTATCCTTCAAACGCCCGGGGCGGTTGGTGGGTGCCGCTCGCTCCCGGACAAAATTTGCCAGCCAGCCTTCTGACGTGCCATAAGGGTCTTGGAAAGCTTTTGGGTTTACGTTGTAGGCGCCAAATGGGTATCGTCGATTAACGGATCGTGCCTTATGGCGTGGTGGTTGCGGTCTGGGTTTGGCCTCGCCGCCCCGCTGATTGCATCACATTCTTTAGAGGAATCCAAGTCTAGGTGCAAGAACCTTCGGTTCTGCAATCACACCCGGCCCCGGCAACATCAAATGTTGGCAACTTTGGAAGCCATTGTCAGCACAATTCTTCACAATGGCACCATAAAAGAATCCATTTGAGACACAGCGGCCCCACCCCAACCCATGTTCCCCAGCGATTCTGCCTATTAACCGCGGCCCGTTCCAGCAAAACGGCTTGCCCGGATGTTGTCTGCGCCGGTTTTCTCTTTATTAGCGACTCTTCTTCCGTGAGAACAGGTGCCCCGACATAACGATAAGAACGAACAACCCAACAGTGAGAGAACCCCAGAAAAATACAACCAAATGCTTGGTTGCATGTAGTGGTTGGGGTTGCCATGCTTTATTTTTTAAGCAGAATACCCTAGTCTTACTTCCCTTTCAAGAAAGAAAGAAATAACGAAAGAAAAAATATTTATTTTCCGTATCTGTCCTTACATGTTCTATGGTTTTAGAAAAATACCTCAAGCAAAAACTTTTCCAGATGATGTTTTCTAATACATAACAAAACTAACGAAATAGAAGTGCTTGCAAACCCTTTTAACCCGCCCCCCGCTCTACTCATCGCATGTTCCACCCCTTCGCTACATCTAATTGTTTGATGTGTTCTCCTCTAGATATTTTCTGTGCTGGATTATGCTCTGAAAATACGTAACTCCAAGTGGCACTTATGCCGTGTGATCGAAGAAATTTTTCTATGGCGCCTACTTCCGCAACTAATACCTCTGAATGTGTGTTCTTTTTTTGCATAATATTCATAACCGTTGTGTTGTCAACGCGTATATCCAAGGGACTTGCCAAATGCATGTTAAACGCTCGTAAAGCCAGATGAACGGCCCGTGCCTCTGCCTGGAAATCATCCCAGGTGAGCGCCTCCAAGCGCCCCCTGCGGCCCAAACCTCCCCTGAACTCTTAAATAACAACGCCCCCCATCTGTACATAGATGCGTCTGTCACCAGAGTTGCTGTGGAGGGCAAGACGTGTGGTGGATGAACCGGTTCATTTTTTAACAATTTTTAAACCAGTTATCCCCAATGACCTTCGCGCTGGGTGGTAAATTTACCCGGTTTTGGGGTCGTAATAAATCTCGATTTAAACTTGATAAGCGTCGACGTACTATCTTTAAGAAGAAGTAATAGGGGAAAAGAGATTCGCTCCTTACGCCCCCCGCACACATCATGCGTGAAACCGTACTTTCCAATTCTTCCACCGTCATCTTTTCCAGCGACGGTGTCCCTCTCAACCTTCTTAACGTATTTTGGCTTAAAGAAACCGTGTTTTCCTTGTGGTTGAAGTGCACCCCGGTGAAATCGTATTCCTTTGTTTGAAACTTCTGCTCTCCTATGGTGACCCCGCATTTTTTGCATATTATGCAAGACTTTCTCTCCCCACGCTTTCACCTTACCATGTGGGCCTGCTGATTCTGATGTTATCAGCCCAAACATGTATTTTAAACTCTTTGAGTATAATTTTTTTTTATTCATCTTTAGTCACGATAGCAATCTGTAGAAAATAAAGTTATGGCATTAGTTAAGAACCCAAAAAGTAACTTAGTGTTAAATGGAGCTTTCAATTTTTCGGGAGTAGTTCTAAAAGTAGCAACACTTAAGTCACGAAGTCGAGGACGTTCCCATAGCATGTGTGGGAGTGTCTCCTTAGGTCCAGGACAGACGTCTTCATGTACGTGTTGCTGATTCTGTTGTAATATATCAACCTGGGTAATGGGGTGGGAGTGTGTTATGCGTTGGTATTCAGCACATTTACGATAATGACCCGCACGTGATGCAGATGTCTTAAAGACTTTAGCACTGGAACAATATCCACATACTAACCCCTCCTCTATGATCGATATTCCTGGGTGTACGCTTTTTGCATGAAGTTTCATGGTTGTCACAGACGCATAAACCAATTTACAGATTGGGCAGGTGGATGTAGAACGATTAGGTCTCAATCTGATACTTCGAAGAGGCGTCGCTGGGGTAGGTTCTGGGGACGGGGTAGGTGCATGCCCTCCTTCCTTTAGAGGATGGCACCATCTGCAATAGGGGTTGCGCGTAATATTCAGAGCACGTGCGAGACGGCCAAATAAAGGGCACAGGTGGCAACGAGCTTGCGCGCACAGCCGCGATTCCTTTCCTAGAATATCGGGGTCTAGGTGGAAGGGTGTTCTTGCTGTACCTACGGGAGCCGATCGTGGGGTAGTTCCGCATTCCTCTTCGTATTTGACCTCCTGCCAGTGCTATCTCTTAACCGCAGTAAGAAAATCTACATGCCAAATTGGAATGTTTTCCTGAGGAAGGTCCCGTGCCCTGGTAGCTTCAACATCAGCTGCTTCATTACGTTGAATTCCACAGTAGGTTGGAGAAAATATTATATCTACAGTAATATTACGACATGCAAGGGATAACAACATAAGCCAAATATCTTCCGTAACCCGGTCATGGACTGCCAAAGGTCCGACTCGGAGGGCTTCAATGGCTGGGAGCGAATCCGTCGCAATAAGTATAGATGTAGGGTCTTGAATGTTTTGTAAGGCCGGAAGTAGAAGGTGGGATAAGCCTCCTTCCAGGGCCAAGCATTCAGCCCTATAGGAGCAGGCTAGAGGGCCCGCCGCCGCATGATATATTTGTACTGGTTTATCATGGGGCGCAGTACCATCATAAAGTAAAGCAGCAGCTCCTGATGCGCGTTCGGCGAGTGAGGAGGATCCATCCGTCCATAATTCAAAGCGATGAGAAGGGAGCTTTGTATACACAGTATCAAAAGCACGCTTCTTTACCTCTTCAGAGGCATCTTTATCGTATTGAGGTTGGTGAAATCGAATAAAATGACATAATTCTGTTTCCCATGGACGAATGCGACGGCATATAAGAGGTTCACGAGGGTGATCAGTAGGTATCCCAATAAGATCACACACTCGTTGCAGTTCTTTAAGGACCATCTCTTTTGGTAAGGGAATCGGCGTTGCTCTGCGGCGATAGGTCGTGGGCGGCGCAGGTTGTGCATAAATAGCTCTACGAATGCCATCGGTGTTGGGGGGTCGTGGAAATCTCTCGTGTTGGGCAAGCGCCCTAAGCATAGATAATTTGCTTAAGGGTAACAGGTTTGCTTCTAAATAAACGGAAGAATTTTCTGTTGCAGCACTTAATCCTAGGGATGCTTTGCAACTGTCCCGATATCTCACTTCTAAGTTTTGAAGGCACGCGGGCACAACGCATGGGAGGACAGCCTCGCTCCCATGTGGCGGCACGCTATACAAGTATCTAATGAGAAATGAACGCATGGTATGATGATTTGCATCTGCTTGTGCAACAAGGTTAAGCTGATAACGGTGTATCATCGTTTGTTTGGATGCTTTATTAATATGAGGGCCAAAGTTGAGTAGCCGCTTAATGTTCACAACAAGCAGTTTAATAGGACGAGACTCAATACGGAGTGTCCCGTGACCAAGCCGAAGATATACCTCTTCCGCATCGGATGCTGTATGGGAAGAGACGTAAAAGAGTACTGCATCACTCTTAAATACGTTCAACTTCAAGTTGTACTCGGCAGCCCATGCAGTAATCACATCAAGGGCTGGTTGCATCGCCGAAGCACAGTCGCGAATGTCTGCCCCTGAAGCAATAAGTGTCAGGTCATCCGCATACATAAATGCTGACACAGAGAAGATATTGTCCAGACGGCATAGCAGATCGTCCACGTAGTAGAGGAAGAGTTGGGGACCAAGTACACTGCCTTGAGGCACCCCAGCAGATGTGAGTTGCGCTCGAGATGTATTTTCATCCACTCGCACCATAATATAACGACCACGCAGATAGTTTTGTAACCATCTCTTCGTGCGGGGTCCTAGTTGCGGAAGCCTATCCAGAATAGTCAATAATTTGCAGTGGTCAAGTGAGTCGAAGGCAGTCAAAAAGTCAGTCAATACTGCAAGCGAACGGTGGCGTCGGGGATGCAAATTAGGCGCACCACCACCTGTTCGAGAATATTCCACCATGGAGAATTCGTTAAGGCCACGGGTAATCTGATCCAACATAAGAGTTACCACATCCGTAGTGCAGCGGAGGGCCATAAATCCAAATTGTCGAGGGTGATGAGGGAATAATGCTGTTAGGCGTCGGTGGACCATACGTTCGGCCACCTTAAGCAAGACTGATAGTAGCGTCACTGGACGATAACTATCAGGAGGGCTGGGGTCCTTACCCGGTTTAGGGGTAGGGGCCGTCACCCCTTTCTTCCATTGCGGAGGAAACTCTCCAGATGCAAAGGAAGTATTTATCATTACCCGAAGCGTGTTTCGAGCAACAGGACCAAGATGATGGAGAAAATCATTCATAATACCATCAGGCCCAGGTGCTGTTCCCAGAGGAGCATCATGGATGGCCAGATCCAATTCATAAGAAGTATACGGACAATCCATGTCACAAAGAGCACCACGACAGTCTTCTCGTGTAGGTGGGGTATTTGTGAGTAAAGCACGTGAAAACTGTACAAACTGGCGAACAAGTAGGTTGGCTTTTTGGCGAGGGAGCGTACAGGTACGATCATTAAGTGATCGGAGAACCACTGTAGAAAGTGGGTGAGGAGGCGATGCCGCCAATCCTCTTAAATAACGCCAACTGGGAGGTGCACGGGGCCCCGAGTTTTTGAGCGCGGGATTCCATAAGTAATTGGATCCCTCGACGAAAAGCTGAGGTTTGTCGATCCTTGGCCCAGATGAATGCGTCCAAAAGCATGTCATCATATGGGGTGGCAAGGTGAGCCTGAAACGCGCACTTAGCCTGTTGAGATGCCAAATCCATATCTTCCGTCCAAATCGTACGAGGGTTGTCACGGCTGCCCTTAGGAATAGTTTGTTTTGCCGCACACAGAATGCCACGATAGACCGAATGCCATGTAGTAGCATTTGCTAACGCCGAGTCGCACTTCGAAGTGAAGTTGGGCCGATCAGCCTTTCGGAGAGCAAACGTTGCAGATTTGCGGCGCGGAAGTGTATTAGCTACGCTAGGTTCGCCTTCACCTATCGCAAGGGGGTAACTGATCAGACAGTGATCAGAATCCATATACGGTGTAAGTAACCAAATGTCAACAGTCACCGAACGTGAGAATGTCACATCAGGGGACGAGCTATCAGTTCCATTGGTTCGTGTTGCCAGCAAAGGGTTCTTTACCACTTCAAATCCAAGATCCACCAAAGTTGTTGCAAAGTCTTCTCCTTCTTTGGAAGCAGGCAAACGACTGTCCCAGATATCATGGTGTAAGTTAGCATCGCCAGCCACAAGCGCATGTGGATCAAGACGACGAACAATACTTATCAAATGAGATATACGTGCCATTGCGGGGGTGGGTTATAAAAAGTCACCACAGACAATGGGGGACTTGCTGGAGCAAATACGCGGATGGCGATGGTCTCCAAGGAGTCGGTGCCAGGTAGTGAAATCTGTTCACATTGGAGACCATGCCGCACTAGAATAGCGAAGCCACCGCCTCTACCCTTACGGGGGTGATGGAAATCACAATACCCAAGAATTTTCGTTGCCGTCGTACTCTGGTTCTTCGCCTCCTGGAGAAGGACAACGTCCGGTAGAAATGCTGAAAGACGGTAGGTAAGAGCCGCCTTTTTTAATGGTGAAAGACCTGCGATGTTCAGTTGGCAACAAATAAGGCGTCCTTCAGCATCGGGGCCAGGGTTCTTCTGGACGTCGCCACAACGAGTAATATCAACAAATTTGCCATCGCGAGATGGTCGTGCAGTTTAATCGGAGAACCAAAGGATCTCCTCACCCCCCACCCCCACAAAACGGACACGATCTGGAACCTTAACGAGGGGTGAAGTTTTCTTGGTTTCTGCCGCGCTCATTTCAATGTCCTGCAATGAAGTTCCTCGTAGCACTAAAAGCCCCAGCACAACGTCAAGGTGCGACTTCATCACTGGGGCCCTTTGGGTGTCACGTACGGTGGCATTGCCGATTCCGGTTGGCCGCAGAATACTCTTGTAATAGTGTTTAAAATCTCGGGGCCGCATTTATAACCCATAGGAAGGCGAGTGAACTCTACTAGTTCTCCTAATTCCGTACGGCAACGGAAACTTGCGTGCATTTTAACTGGTAGGGCCACCCCCAAACAATGATGCCTTTAAATCAAATAATGTTGCAGTTTCGTCGTAAACGACATCCAGGTATCGGGAAATGTGTCCTAGAGGAACATCGGCCTCGTAATCATCCTTATCATTCTTTTCTCTTGGCAAAGCAATGAAACGCCTTCTCTGCCTTGACGGCTTGCCCTCAACTACCGTAAAAGGAACCACCCATCCTGTGGTTGGGTGTGATGAAGCTGTACAAATAATACCTGCTTCCTTCATACGCTGTGCGTCATAGTTATTAATTCGTAAACTCCATTCATGATCCTTCAACAGCGCCATGGGTTTTCCCATAATGCTCCATGCTGTATCGCAACGCCTCCTGGCTTTCTCGTTCATTCGCTTTCTTATCCATTTAGTGAGCAGTGTTTTTACATCTATTTCTTGCAACGGCAATCGTTCCTCATCTTCTTGGGTTGCCACCCGAGTTCGATTGGAGCGTTGAAGTATGCTGTGTCCTTTAAAAGGGTTGTTAATGCCTCGTTCAGGATGTTGTGGTAATGCTCGGCTGGCTGTTGCCCATTTTTCCAAATTGCTTACATCAATGATGTCAGGTGCGCTGGCTTGTTTATTGTTGCGATTCAATGGCCTAGATAACGCACCGTGCTGCGTGGGAGTTCCATGGGATCTGAATGTTTCCCTAACTGTGTTAACAATCGTGGGTTGGGATCGTGTTCGACCGCTTCTGCCGCGACGTGGGCCAATGCTCTTCTCTTTATGGGGTGGGCTGCCATACCGTAAGGTCGAAGCATATTTTCCATACCTCTTGTGTGGTTAGTGGCGTCAACTTTTTCGTCGTCTGCCAATCCTTTTATGGTTTCTCGGACGCGTCGTGCGTCTGCTCCCTGAATTACCACGTGTCTGGCCGCTCTGTAAGGGTCGCTCTTGAAGGTTGTTGGAAGCGCTCCCTAATCCACTATTATGGCATCTGGATCTTGATCGTGCGGTACGAAATTTTGTTTCTGGAGTTGTGTTATTTCTCCCCATCGACTCGCTGGAACCCATGCCAGTCTTAAAGCCACTTGATCTCTTTCCTTTGGGAGTGGCGATTATCATATCCAATTCCCATCTCAACATTGGACGAGCTTGTTTTAACGGGTCCTGCGCTGCCGTTTTTCGTAAGCCCATAAAAACAATTGAGTGGGTGTTCTCCCTGACGCCATCATGCCGATCAGTGTGTGCGTATATTGAATCGCGCTGCTCTTTGCCAATTGCAAACTTAAGATAAATAGCGGAATGTTTTCCTCTGTTGTGTCTAGGTTGTTCTGCACTGTAAGCTCCATGAATCTTCGGAGTATGGAACCTCGTTGTTCCCATATTGTACGGGTCCACATGCCCTTTGCTATGCGGATGGCCTCTGATGCCAGCGCCACGATGTACGGATCGTGAGAGCGCGCTGGAATTAACGTTGCCTGGTTTTTTGATGTCGTCCCATGGGGGAGTATTGACGATGGGAAGATTCCTTGCTGTTTATGTCATTGTGTCTTGTGTCCCGGTACATTTCCTGTTATTATGTGTTCCGTCACCGTTTGGACGTTTGATCGAAAGAGTGCCACAGTGTGGTGTGGAGGTTTCCCAACGTGAAGCTTTTCCTTTCGTACATATCCTACTTGCCCCAAAGGCCCAGTATTCATTGTTTCCACGGCCGTGTATTGTTTTTTTTGGGGCTTAAAAGCTTCTCTTTGTAATTGTGCACGGCACGTCGAGCTGTAATGCCCGATGCGACGACATCTGAAACATTTTGCCATGCTGGGTGGTGGTGCTGAATTTTTTCTTCCGAAACTTAAATGCAGCCTGTATGAATGGATCACCTTTTCGCAGAGGCTGGGCCATGGCCTCCCTGATGTTGTACATCTTCACTCCTGGGAAATCCTTCACCTTTTGTATTGCCTTGAGCTGTGTGTATAACTGTCTTCCCAGGTTTACCTGCCATGTGGGCAGCCCTTTATTGCGCAAAGTTATTCCATGCATTGTTATAAAGCAAACCGGGATTTGCTGGAGCAGGAAAAAATTCCCTGTATGCAGTCAACAATTGGTTGGGTGATATCTGCGGCAAATAATTCATTACACCTTCAAAAGTTCGGATGCGCTCTTCAGGTCTTACTTGCTCAATCCAGACTGGTTGGTTTAGTTCCTGTGTTCCCCGGGGAGCCTCCGCGGGGCACGCACCCCCGTATCGGATACAAACTGTTCCGTTTTCTATACCTTATATGTCACATTTGTGTCTTGTTTACGGGAAATCTGTACTGTGGTACTGTGAATTTCCTCAGTATCGTTCTGTTTTCCTTGGCGTTGTGATTGTTCGATCGCCGCCGCTAGTTGCGACTGCATTTCCATTATTTGTGTGTCTTTCTGTTGTAATTCCTCCATCAGTTGGCTAATATGCGCCTGCAATTCCTCTTGATACGCTTTGCCAGCTGCGGTTTCTTGGTACAACTGTGCCATTTGTTGTTGCAATTGCTGGAATTGCATGTTGGCGTCCTGCTGGACCCGAAAGGTTTGGTCCAGTAACTGCGCTCGCATGCCCTCATGCTGTTGGCATAATAGCGACTCTTTTTTCCTTCAGAAAATGCCCATTCGGTGCTGAAACGTGCTCGTGCTGCTTCAAAAGCCTGCGGAAAATAATGGTTTCGCGGCATGTTAAACCTGATAATGGAGAGCCGCAAGTTTTCCCAGTCCATATAGGTATCCTCTCCTGCGCATACCTTAAGCAAGTCGATTTCTAAAGTTAACATACCTTCGACGATATAACTTAAATGGGAAGCTTGCGATGGTTGCATTTCAAATGTAAACGCTGTTGGACCGTTGTGGCACACAAAATCTTTCAATCTTTGTGTACTCGTCATCCGCTCTCCTGATGAACAAGAGGGATGGGTCGTACTCAACATTTTCCTTCATTGCAAACTTACTCTTTTTCAGAAACTTTCAGTTAGGCAGACTGTAAAGATAAAAAAAGTAGAATTTGGTTTACCAAGACCCCATTCAAAATTCATGCCCCATAAAGTGAGGCTTTGTAATTCTTTTCGCACGCTTTCAAAAAAAAAAAAAAAACCGGCGGGGTGAAGGGCTCTGCCCGCGCGTTGGTCTTGTGTATTTTTTTTTTTCTTTTACGTTTGTGGTTGTGGTGTGTGGATTATGTTGTTCATCGCCGTTGTCATTGTACCGTTTCGCTGTTCGTGTGATCCGTTGTGCTCTGGATGCGCGCCTCTGCCTCCCATTGGGTTGTAGGTTCATGCCTCTTGATGGTGTTGTTCATTTTTTATGGGCATGGTGTGTGGGTAAAGGGGATATGTTGGATTGTACCATCCATAAGAACATCATGGGGGAGGAGGTCTTTGGGGAAAGGCTTCTGGAGGCGGTTATGATTTTATGTGGTGGAGATCCTGTGATAGATTACTGTGGTTGTAAGTTCGTCGTGGGCGTTATTCACTGGTATTATTTGTTTGTTTTCGTTTGCAGGAATGTTGCTGGCGGTGGGGTATGGAACTCATGTCTCTTACGAAGCTTATTGTTGTGCGGTGTCACCGGTTGAATGCCGCGATACGTGTGTTGTTGTTTATGGAGTGCGCTCATTTGTGTGTGTGTGTGTGTGCCAAGATAGTTGGTGGACGTCTCGTAGGCCTTTCTTTTTGCGTATTTATTGCTCTCTTTTATGTATGGTATTTGTTGGACCCTGTTTGGAGGTGGTGTTTGGTATCTTCGTCGGTGTCGTGTTCGTGGATCAACCGCGTATTTGGAGAGGGTGTTGTTTCTTCAAGTACTTTGTTTGAAAGGTGGGGGGAGAGGTGTTACTCGTTATCGGTGTCTGTAAATGTCTCTAGTCGAACTTTGTGGGTTTTTTTCAGTCGTTTGCCCCTGGATTGCCCTTGTGGTGGGGGTTCGTCGTCTCTGTCGGTGTTTGGTGTTCTATTTCTGTCGTGGTTTGATGTGGGAGTTGAGCAAGTTCAGTCACCAGAGAATTCTTTTGCGACCAGGCTTGTGGTCGGGGATATTGTTTCCTTGTGGCAGGGGACATTTGTGTTTGGTGTGTGAGTGGTTGGTGCGGTGTGTGTTTCCGTCCCGTTGGTTTCCGGGGATTTTGGTGAAGGGGTGTGGGTGATTTGTTTCAGCACAATATCTTCACTTATTTGTTGGCTTTCATGGCGTGTAGGTGAACTTCTCGCCAGGTCTTGTGCCCCGGGGTCGTGTGTTCATTCCGAATATTATTGACGGTGTACATCTGTGTTTTCCTCTCGCGAGTGTGTTTTCGCGTCCCATGCAATGGTGGTTGTCGATGGCATTCGGCATTGTGAAGGTGATGTGCGGTTTTCGGGTGGTGTCGCCCGACCCTGGCCTGCTGTTGCTCACCTAATGGTTCCTGTGATCTCGTGGTGTTTGGAGGTTCTTTTTCCGACTGGGTCACTCGTGTATTTTTGATATGCGCCACGGATCCAATATACACAAAGAGGAGCGGAAGACAGGTGTGTGTAATGAACGTGTGCGCACAATAGACACCCATCATTGTGATGTGCTCATGAGCTAATGGTGGGGTGGTGTCAACCGTCCGTGCAGTTCTTTCCAGTAAGGGGTGCCGATGTTGAGTGCGCCCGTGATGAAACTACAGGGAATTTGACGTGTGGATGTTGTGATGGTTGATGGGTCGCTGTGTTGTATTTAACGTTCATATGGGGGTGCTCCTTGAGTACTGTTTCGTGAAATGGGGTCCTGTGTTGGCTGGTGTCTCCTCAGTGGTCTTATAACAGTTTTTGGGGGATGCCGCCCATTCGAGCAATAAGGTTGCGCTATCGGCGAAAGATAGTCAGAGGCACGTTGTATATTATTCCCGAGTGGGATAACCGGGGTCTGTGGGTAAATTCCCATGGTGTTGTTCTTTTTTTTTATTGTTTTTGTGGTTATTTTTTTCGTAATTGGGGGTGTTGTTTTGACATCCGTACGGAACCCGGAGTGTTTTTCTTTTTTTGTTAAGTGGTAAGATTGATTGCCTGCGTGTTGCTTTGTTTTGTGTGAGGGGTTTGATTGCTGTTGTCTTGTGTACTCTCTTTATATTTCCCTCTGCGTTGCTGTTGTTTCTAAATATGTTGGATGTGCGTCTTTTTTTTCTCTTTTTCCTCTCTTTTTATCCTTGTTACCACAGATCCAAGCAACTCACAGTGATAATCATGACAACGATGTTCGTCCAACTGCGCCATGTGGTGTACCTGTTGGTACTTCTCCAGTGCTTTCTGTGCGTGGCGAATGCGAGTGGTGTTTGGCGGGGCTATCCAACCGCGGGGTCAGCCGAAATAGAAAGGGTGGATCAAGTAAGAAAGGTGGATCAGGTGTTAAGAGGGAGGGTGGCCAAGGCACATGAGCAGATTGCGCATATAGAGGGTTGTCTGTCTGCGTTAAAGGAAGAGATGAAACTGTGCGAGGAGGGTTCCAGGCGTGCTGCAGCCGTTGCGAAGAATATCAGGGCTATTGTCAAGGAGTTCGAGGAGATGAAAAAGAAGAGAGAAGACTGGGAGGCATTTGAGTGGATAGGTGAAAATACGAACAGAATAGTGAAAAGCATAAATGAATTTGGCAGTGTAAGATTGTCACTTATAGACATGATTCTATTGGAAGATACTTGTAAGAAGCAATTTGGGGACGTGGAAGGTGATATGGAGAGACTCGACGACGCTCGGAAGCGTTTTTTGGAAGTACATGGGGACGATTTGCGCGAAAGGCCTGAAATAATGGAACTCGATGAGAACAGCAGAAAAGCAAGCCAAATGTTAACCGACCTCACAGAACGAATCGGGGCCGAGGATGGTGAACTTGGACCAATCCAGAAAGCCATGGAGGTTATGGCTGACACGAGTGGAGCAGTAGAGGCCCTCAAGCAGTCCCTGGGAGATGAGACGGAGCTCGTAGCCATTCTGGAAGCCATGAAGGACGCGGAGTTAAGGAAAAGGGCAGAGGAGAGGAAGGCCGCCATTATTAATAAACTGGATGGGGCGAAAGCAAAAGCAAAAAAGGATCTGTCTCAGGTACAGGGAGGGCTGGTTGAAGAAGAGGAAGGGGAGAAGAGGAAGAAGGGCGGTCATCAGAGGTGGTGGCTGAGGCGAAGGAGGATAGAATAAAGGCGGGAAGGGCGCAAACGGTTACGAAAGGGAATGACGGCAGGAGCAGTCTAGTCCTCCATTGATGCAGAGTCCCTTACTGCTGCTTCTGTTGTGTGTGTCGGGTTTGGATTCTGGTCTGTTAATCGGTGTTCCCATGACACATCTGCAGAGTCAACAATCTTTGTTTGAGTGGTTATGGGTGCGTTGTTGGGACACTGTTGCTTCAGGTTGGATGTCAGCTCTTCTACTTTTCTTTCAGTCTGATGAATCTCTGGTTTGCATTTTGTGCTGAATGAGGCTATTGGGCATCCTATGACACTTGTCAGACGACAAACCGTTATTTTGTGAGGGGAGTGCCCTCTTTCTTTGTTCGCACTATTATCTGGGCTCTGCTTCGCCGTCATTTACTGTGCCCGCCTGGTCATGTGTGTGTGTTCCGTGATATTACTAACTATTGCTTTCACCCATGGGAATGAGATGCAATCCCAATAATGCTTTAAATGCCGTGACTGAAATGTGAAGAATGGCAGGGGGTTTGAAACACACAAACACGCACACCACCAACCCCCCTTCTCTTTGTGTGTGTGTGTGGACTGTCATCATGCGTGCATCATTTCCGCCGGTTGCCCTGTACGAAAGACACACACACACACCTACTGCTGGGGATTGTGTTTCTTGCACCCTGAGCATATTCACATGGTGACCACGAATTCCTTTTTGCTTGGTTTTGTTATATTGATTTTCCCTTGTGTGTGTTTCATTATAATTTCATTGCATATTATGTGCAGCTGTGTGTTTCTCTTTTGCGTTTCCGATGCACATTGTGTGTGTCTTGTGTGTTCGTTTTCATGGAATGGTTTCTTTTTTCCATTGTATACAAACTGCTGCACGGACATCAAGAAGAAAGACATGGGCACGGCACGTTCAATACACAATGATTTCCCGCTGTTAACCTTGGAGTGGATTGGACTGTGTTCAGGCATCGCAGCCACATTAAGTGATGAATCAATTTCTTTTTTTTCTCTACATCTTTGCTCTATTATTGTGTCTGCCTCATGCAGTCACTCTTTCATGCATTTTTATTTTGGTATAAGGTTTGGTGGGCTGTGGGTGTTTGAGTGTGCCCCTCTGTTGTGTGTTCCTTTGTGTGTTTGGGTTGCCACTCACACGGCCCCACGTAATGAAAGCACGTTTCTCTGTTCTCATCTTCTCTCTCGGTGTTGCCACTCACAGCATTGCCACGAACGTATTTCTGCTCTTGTGGTGTGTGTTGTTTGTTGTGTTTTTTGCTTGAGTGATTGCAGCCTGCGGGGAGATGGACTGAGACTATTCCGCTTCGGCTTCACGTAATGGGTCTGTGTTTTTTTTTTTTTTCCTTTTTTGGGGTTGAGTTGATGTGCTGGTGTGGGTGAATGTTTTTCTCTGATGAGAGTGGCAGCTGTGATTATTGTATTGTGAGTGCCTTGTGTGCTGTTGGTATCCTGTTGTTGTTGTTCTTTTCTTGTGTTTCTCTTTTTCTCTCTGTAGGTGTGTGATTTGGTGTACATTTTAGGGAATGCCGCAGTGCCTCTCTGATATGAGCATGTAGGAGTGTGCGTGTGCGGTTGTCCGTGCCATTGCGTGTGTGTGTGAGAATGGGAGGGGGGTTATGTGTTGCTGGACCCCTCCACTGCGGTGTTGGCCTCTCGTCTGGCTCTGTAGTGTGTGATTGGTTTACTGTTGCTCCCCCATTGGGTTGTGTTGGATTGCTGTTGTGATGTGTGCTCTCTCTCTCTTTCCCTCTGCGTTGCTGTTGTTTCTAAATATGTTGGATGTGCGTCTTTTTTCTCTTTTTCCTCACTTTTTATCCTTGTTACCACAGATCCAAGCAACTCACAGTGATAATCATGACAGCGACGTTCGTCCAACTGCGCCATGTGGTGTACCTGTTGGTACTTCTCCAGTGCTTTCTGTGCGTGGCGAATGCAAGTGGTGTTTGGCGGGGCTATCCAACCACGGGGTCAGCCGAAATGGGAAAGGTGGATCAGGTGTTAAGAGGAAGGGTGGCCAGGGCACATGAGCAGATTGCGGTTATGAATGGTTGTCTGTCTGCGTTAAAGGAAGAGATGAAACTGTGCGAGGAGGGTTCCAGGCGTGCTGCAGCCGTTGCGAAGAAT